CTGCCAGAGGGAGCCCTTGAGAATCCAAAGGGCCTGGAGCTGTCCTCTGAGTCACTTTTTCAATTAGGTACCAAGAGAGTGACCAAAACCAAAAATGAGCTGTTGTCAAGTTGATTCCAAGTCACGGCAACCCACATGTTGCAGAACAGAACTGCTTCCTACTATTTGCAAGGCTGTGGCCTTTAGGAAGCAGATCTATAGGCTTTTCTTTGGAGGTAGCTCTGGGTGTGTTTGAACCATCAACCTTTTTGTTAGTAGTTTAGCATTGAACTATTTGCACTTCACAGATACTTCTAAGAGACAGTGACAGAAGTAGCATTTCCTTGCATGTGTCTCTGCTTAGTTTGTCTTGCTGTTTTCAGAAAGGTTTATCCTTTAGACCTTGGAAAGAGGGACACTATCTTAGCTCAGTGTGATGCATGATCACTGCTCAGACTCCCAAGATTCCCCAGGAGTGTGGGACTGAGGGCCTGGGCAAGAAAGAGCATGACCAGCCACAAAAACCTGTGCTGGCTTTGTACCCTGATGGCCTTTCTACGCTGAGCAGAACAGCCTTTGCTTCATTGTTAGTGGGGCAGAAGCTTTAGCCTGTCTTGCTAAATTAGCGGTTCTGTGCTTTGGGATCACCTGGAAGGCTCATTGGGCCTTAGTCCCTGAGTTTCTGATTCAGTAGTTCTGGAGTGAGGCTGATAACTCGCATTTCCTACAGATCCCTGGTGTTACTGATGCTGCTAGTGTATGGCCACTCTTTGAAAACCACTGTCCTAGAGAATGGCATATTTTCACGATCACTCATGTCTTTTGCATCTGCCTGAGGGAAGGGTATGATATAGGGGAAAAACAAAGGTATAGGAATTCTTATTTTAACTCTGTTACTAACTTGCTCTGTGGCTGCATTTCTGAAACTGTTTCTCATTGTGAGTGACAGAATATAGATTGTTAGCTTAAGAAAGAAAGGTAATTTGTTGAGAGGATGCAAGGGTATCTGAATTCAATACATTGCTGAGTAGTTAAGGCTTGGGACATCCTAGGTGCTTTAGCTACTAGAACTCATAGGCCTGCTGTCTAGGGCACTGTAGTCAAGTGATCCAGTTATTATCAATTCTAATCCAACCTATTCAAATTCTAAATGCTGATGAGAGATAATCTGATTGTTTTACAAGGGATAGGATCTCTCCTTCTCTCTAGCCCCTTAGCCAACCAACCACAACAGATCAGATATGGTAGAGAGGAAGCCAGAGAAACCAATGCCATCGAGTTGATTCCGACTCATAGTGATCCTATAGGACAGAGTAGAACTGTCCCAGAGTGTTTCCAAGGCTGGAAATCTTTACAGAAGCAGATTGCCTCATATTTCTCCCATGGAGGGGCTGTTGAGTTTGCATTGCTGACCTTTGGGTTAGCAGCTGAATGATTTAACCACTATGCAACCAGAGCTCCTGGAAGGCAGAGAGGGTCAAGTAAACAAGCAGGGCAGCTCCCTTCCCACCTTGCACTCTGAATCGAGCAGCCATGATCCTACAAGGTACCTACTTATATTGACCTTGACCAAGATTCTTCCTGTTTCAGGGCCTCAGTTTTCCCATTTAGAAAATGAGAAGTTTGGGTTAGAACTTCATCACTATATGAGAGTTTCTCAACGTGAGCCTTCATCGTAATTGCTTGGGGTACATTCTCTGTAGGGTGCTGGTAAATATTTAAGCAATTGGTGCTTCTCCTCTCTAGCTCCCTCAAATAAAAAGCCCTAATTTGTAGCATTAGTTGAATTTACATACTACCACTATGGCCAATTGCAAAGTAATAATATGAAGTAATTGAACACAGGGAAAAGATGTCCACAATCAACTGATTCAGAACCTGTTAAGTCAGAACCTCTGAATCTGCATCCCCTCCAGGGGATTCTGGTGGATAATAAAATGTCAGCACCCTCATATCCAGAGAACTCTGAGGACCTTCACTTTCCTCCATTCTAATTATATTATAGGTCCTCACACTGTCTCCAGGAGCTGGGGGAAATGTTTTTGAGAGAATTGCGGATGAAGACCAGGAGAGATCAATTGGCTATTGCCAAGTCAGTCAATGGTGGGTGGCTGCACGATCCTATCTGGTACTCTGGCCAGATCCATTTTTCCTTGTCCTCCTTGAGTGCCCTGAGCAGGACAACATCTTGATGTGCATGGCTCAGGGATACAGGATGGGATGGCAGGGATGTGAAGTTGTAGCTGTGAGTACTGGGATCCATGCCCCTCTTTCATATCTCTGGATAGGGCTAGTATTTCAGCTGTGATCAGAATGACCTTCTGATATATCATCTCCATCCCTGGAATTGAGAGCGCACCTGGTCATCAGCAATTTCTGTGCAGGTCCCTTATCCTGATAACCTTCTCTGTGCAGATAGAAGACAGAGTAGAGAATGCCATCCTTGTTTGAGAAGTGCTAAAGTAGAGAGCATGTCACAAAGCCCACCAAAGTCCCACCAAGAGGCAGCAGGGCTGATGCTGAAGTTGTGGACATGGAGCTGAGCAGCAAGCTGTTGATAGGAATAGAAAATTGTTTTTTTTTTTCTTTTTTTTTTTAAAGGAACTTTAAATGAAAAACCATTTACATTCTGAAGTTAGATTGAAATTTTCATTATGAACTACAAGTACCCCTGATTTCTCTTCTTTTCTTATTAAAGCAGTGGTTCTCTGACTGATCCCTGGGCCAGTGGCAACAGCGTCACTTGGGAACTTTTTAGGAATGCACATTCTGGGGCTCAGAATGTCTCTCCCTCTTGGAGCCACTGCCTAAACTTCCACCATTCTTGGGATTTTATGCACTTGTCTCTAAAAAGAACATTTTTCCAATGTGGATGCCCTACCAAGGCTGTGATGCTGAGTTGTCCTCTGATCAATGAATGGATGGACTTGACACCAGAATCAGATGGGGAACTTTGGGATAGTGTTGGGTGTAGGGAAACCACAGGAGGCAGTAGTGATCACTCTGGATATGGCAGGCCTCCCTGGGTACTCTGTTGGGGCTGCTTGGATTGAGGCTCAGACCAACACACTTAGTGCTTCTGCTTGGAGATACCTTGTTTAGTACATGACTTTCCATGCAATGGACAAGTTCATGCACTACTAAACTCTTCTGATACCTCCTTCTTCATGTCTGTTCTCTCAGCTTCCCTGGTTCTTGACTTCAGTGCTTGTCCTACAATATGACCCTGCTCTAGCCCACCTCTCCCCCCAGTGCCACTCAGATCTTGCCATCTCTATGCTGTGTGACTTCAGCCATGCCTTCTCTATAAGCCCTGTCCAGCCTCAACTGGGCTTGGAGAGCAAGACCCAAGCAAGGGAGCCTGAGAGCCCTCCTTGGCCAGCACCTGGACAGTGCTCAGAGCCTTTGAGGTGCTCCCCACATGGGCTTCCTGATCTGAGAAGAATGTAGCTGAACCTTCTTTAGTTACCATGTGGAGCATGCTGGGCAAACTGGATTTGAGCTGAGCCTGAGGTTGAATGTTGACCTGAGTGACTGGAGTGTGAATCTGATCTTCTTTCTCTTAAGTTTGTACCTGTCCTTGTTGAAGTGACAAGTGAAGCTGATGGACCTGGGATAGGCCCATAGAGAAGGAGAAAAGAGTGTGGAGTCAAGCAGCAGGCTGGAGAAGACTTTTACTAGATGTTGCCCTGGGCCATTCCTGGGCTCCTGCTTTGATTTAGGCTGAATAAACTATTTGGGGTTGTGCCCCTGAGTGTGTACACATGTCCCTTTATCCATGTGTCTCCCTGTACATCTATGAGGGTTCCCATGCATGTGTGGGTAGCGTCTCCCTTCAGCTCATCAGCTGTGAGGCCATGGGCAGGTGAATTAAACCATCAGAGCCTCCATTTTCCTTGTCTATACAATAAGAGTAGTAGAAACGTCTATAAAAGGTTGCTATGGTAACAAAATGAAATGAGGTCCAGTTTTTGGTATTCGTGTGTTAGGTATTATTTCTGGATGCCTTGTGTAAGTTTCTTAACCTCTCTGTGCCCCAGTTTCCTCACATGTAAAATGGGGATACTACCAGAAACTTCACTGTCATCAAGTCAATTACACTCATAGTGACCCCTCCTTGGGTTTCTGAAGCAGATTGTCCAACCTTCCTTCTGAGGAGTGGCTGGTAGGTTTGAACACCAGCCTTCTGGTTAGCAGTCAGATGCCTTCAGCATTACGCCACCAGAGCTCCCATTACCAGAACCTTGTTGCTATGAGGATTAGAGAAGTTGATACCTGTAAAGTACTTTGTTGTTATTATTAGTTGCTGTCAAGTGGATTCCTGTCTCATATGTGCAGAGTAGAACTGCTCCATAGGGTTTTTAAGGCTGTGACCTTTCAGAAGCAGACCACCAGGCCCGTCTTCAGAGGCACCTCTGGGTGGGTTCACATTGCCAAGCTTCCTGCTCATAGTCGAGCACTTAACTACTTGTGCCACCAAACCAAAAATAAAATAAAACAAAAACACAAACTCACTGCCATTAACTCAATTCTGACTCACTGCATCCCTAGGGTCTCCTAAAATACTTAGTGCTTTGCAATAGATGGTAGTGATTGTAATGCTTATTACCTTACAGTGTATGGATGTGTCTGGGTGAGTCTCTCTGGGTTTGTGAATATCCCGGTGGCTGTCTTTCTGCTCCTGTGTGTACGTGTGCATATGTGTATTTATATGACCAGGCAGGCCCCCTCGCCGGGTGGAGTTTGCTGTTGGCCCAAGAGGGGACTCCCTGAGCCAGCTAGGGCCGGCGCCTGGGATGGAATTTCCATTAAGAATTAAGCAGGACTGCACTGGGAAGCCAGGCAGACAGAGAGGAGGGGGCTATGGGGGAGGATGCTCGGACTCTGAGCTCCCTCGGGCAGCTTCAGACCTGAACTGCCTGGGAGAAGGCCTCTGCCAGCTTTGCTTTGAGTCACAGGTCTTGCTGAGGCCATGGCCCAGAAGGATGAGCAGGAGGGGAGGAACTGTTCTCAGGGGCCTCTGTAGGGAGACTCGGAGTTGCTGGGACCAAGCCGACTGGAGCCATGAGGCGACCCCCGGGAAATGGAGAGGTGGCCAGTGAAGGTCCAGGTGGCTGGAGCCTATGGGGTCGACAGCAGCCCAGAAGGCTAGGCTGTGCCGTATGTATCTGTGTGTTGGGGAATGGAGGGTGGGGGGCATTCATGTGAACTGCTCCAAAGGAACATGTAGCAAACTAAGTCTATTCCTACCTTGCCCTGAAACCCAGACACAGAATTCAGATCTGCAAATAAAAGATCTTTGAGGTGTTTGTCTTGTCTGGGATCTAAGCCTCATTCTACTTCTAGTCTGTTAAAAAAAAAAAAAAAAAAGGCTATCTTAGCTTTCCAGCTACTTTTACATCTCTTATATCATATTTTCAAAGACCTTAAGAGCCAGGCAGGAGTTATTATGATCCCTGTTGTACATATATGAAAAGTGAGGTTCAGGGAGGTTAAATGATTTGTCCAAGGACACATAGCTAAGAAGGAGTAAAGGCAGCATGCAAAGCCAGGTCTTTTTTATAACAAAGCTCTAGCTGTTTTTATTATATTCTTGACCTGCAAAACAACAGATTCAGAGAGAAGATCCCACAAACTTTCCCCATTTAAAGAAGGCTGCAGCTACAGGGTCAATACCTAGCCAGGTAGCTGACTGGAGGCCCCAAGGCCATCTCAGACCCCAAGACAGCTTTGAGACATAAACTAAAGCTCCTCTCAAGGGACTGTGGCATTGAATCAAGTTGTTTTTGATGGAGGCTGGGATCAAGCTGGCTTGTCTGAGGGGAGACACCTTGACCACCCACAGCTCCAGGTTCCCAGTGAGCTAGGGTGGGGTCTGAGTTAATGCCAGGGGCAGCTGTGCCCAGGGCCAGGGAGCAAAGTCACTTTCAGTCAGGGCCTGAAAAAAGGAGCAGGGATTATTAGCATCAAGGAAGAAAAGACTGAGATGGGAGGTTAGAATGGTCATTATGATATAGACTTGGAATTGGTCACTCTCTCCCTGACTACATTTACCTGTTGCTGTCAGATTGACTCTGACTCATGGCAGCTCCATCTGTGTAGTACAACCGTGTTCCATGGGTTTTTCAATGGCTGACTTTTTGGAAGTAGATTGCCAGGACTTTCTTCCAAGGCACCTCAGGGTGGCCTCAAACCTCCAACTTTTCTGTTAGCACCTAAGTGCTAACGCCTAGGAACTCTCCTGAACATACAGTGCAAACAAATGGACCTAGTTTGCATGAGAAGGATTTAGGTTAGAGCCCAGATTGGGGATGGTGGTGTTCAAGTTTTGGAACAAGAGCCAAGGGGAAGTGGAGAGGGCTGCCTTTTTCCTTAGTAATCCTTAAGAATAGGTGGAGGTCTTCCAGGCCCACAGGATTCATGGCAGGGTGGAGGGAGTTGGATGGAATGACCTCGCAGCTTCCTTCCAGCTCAAGAATGCAACATTCCTGAAATTTTGGGAAGGAATCAGGCTTTTTCACTAGGCTTTTACCATCTGACACAAAGAAGTCCACAGGCAGGAATTTGATGTACCCCAAGTTAGAAGGACTCTGTAACACTCCTACCTCGCAATTTTTGGCAGGTCCATGATCTGGAGGGTAACTTATGTGGGTGACTTAGTTTTCAAGGGAAACACCTGTGGTGAGTAAACCAAGTTCCATTCCAGGGATTTGGGGGCTGCTCAAAATTAGGCGGCTCCCCCTGCAGAACACGTGAACTGCCCCCAAATACCTCCTTGTTTTGTTTCAGTTCCAAGAGAAACCATCGCGGCACATTCCCTTCCCCTCTCCAGATGTTGGCATGCAGGGTACATGTGGGCGCCCCCGCCCGGATGGCTCCTAGGCTCCAGGGTTGTTACCCGCGGTGACTCCCGCCCAGCCCGGGGGTGAGCCTGGTCTCTAATCAGGCCTGACCGCGTCCCCATTCCTGCGCTCCCCACAGAGACAGCGCGATATTTCCATTGCCACGGGCACCAAAATAGCCCTCGAGGCCCAGCTGAAACTCGGCAGTGGTGCCTGACGCGGGACAGAGGCTTGGCTGAAAGCACACTGTTGTTGAAGGTCCTTCAGAATTTGCAACCTCCTCCAAGCAGCTGAGCGAGCGGGAGGGAGGGCGGGAGGGGGGAGCCGGGCGGGGGCCGGGGGCAGCCTGCGTCCGGGCCTCGGCTAGACAGGGGCCACTTTGCTCACGGTTTCTGGAGCTCCAGCTGCGCCCTGCCACCGCTGGCCGGCTTGCACGCGCTCTCACTCGCTTTCACGGTCAGAGTAAGTAGACACGTTCTACTGGTTGGATTCAGAGGCCAGTGCTGGATCTGCCAGCCTAGTGTGGGGACAGGGCATATTTGTGACTATTTAGATTATAGGTACAAATATGTCAGTGTGAGTGCTTGTGAGTGGGACATGTGACAGTGGGAGACAGTGTGACTGAGCAGGTATGTCAGCATGTGGAATTTTCTAGCATGTTTCTGAGATGGGAATGTGGGTGGGAATGTGTGTCCGTGTGTATGTGTGTGTGGGTACCTGTAGTGTAGGTGAGGCATGCTGGTTAGCATGGAGTGGGCCTGTAGGTGCCATGTGTGTTCGTGTGGCACATGCTGACCCTGTGTGAATCTGTCTGGGTGTGCAGAAGTGCATTAGTGTGTGTGGTAGGAAGGCATCCATGACGGGTGAGTTGACATGCAGCTGGCTGGGTGTGTAAGAGTGAGCCAGTGAGCTGGGGGATGAGGAGTGTTATCTGAACTCCGACTTTCTGGGGTGACCTGACGTGTCCCTGGCTGGGTGTCTTCTCTGGGGGTCATATGGCTTTGGTTTCTTTGAGCAAGGTGAGAACACAGAGCCCTCACTCAGCACAAGGGGTGAACTGGGGTCTGAATGACCCTATCTGGCTGGGCCAGGAATGGGGAGACAGTTAGGTGATCTTACTATCACACTATGAGAAGAGGTAGGAGGAGCAAGACCACTCAGCCATGTGCATACAGAAACAGCACGCTTACTGTCTTGCAGCTGCTCTTGTGTATACATATTCCTGCACACAAGCACCAGTCTTGCACACACCTCTTCTCAGGATATCCCTGCAAACACACAATTTTGACATGTACACCCATGGGCAAAGACACATATGCAAAATGCACCATGTGGGTAATATACGCATATGCATAAACATTCACACCTGGCTGGCCAGCCTTAGCTTCTAGACCCCTTTTTCTCTACATATGATGCCTCTGGACAATGGGTCCTAGAAAGTGACCCAGGGGAATATCTTATGTTTGGGGTTTCTGTCTGGGGTGGGGGGCGGGTGGCCAGAGAAGATGATATAGTTAGTGCCTTTGGAGTGTCCCAGCTGATCTAAAGTCTGCCCATGGAATGCAGCCAGAAATGGTCCTTGGGCCTCACAGTCTTAGCTTAGAAGCAGCATTTGCCCTCTTAGAAGTGAAAAGGCCAATCTCACGAGGTAAACTGTGCCAGGTTGCTATCTCAGGTAGAGGTGGGTAACTGCAATTTGTGCCTGGCTCTCGTTTATGCTCTGCATTTCTCCTGCTGTGAAAAGCAGTGAGCCATGTGTAGGCGGGGCCCCGGCATCTAGTCCACAGAGGGGAGCAGTGACTTGAGCTGCCTTAGTCTTTCTCTTTGGTTTTCATCAACCCTATGTTAAGTCTCCCATCTGCAGGCTGGACTGGAAGAGATGTCCTTCATTTTCCTCTCCTCCTTTTGCTACCTCCCCAAGCTCTCTTCTAGGGGCTATCTCTGTTCTTGACAGAAACTTGTTCTCTTTGACCTCCTTCCTCTGGAGACTACTGGGGACACACTGAACAGTGCTTGGAAGAGTAGGTTTCCCAGAATGTCAGCTGGTTATTATTATTATTGATTAGGCTCCCTGGGTGGGGCAAACAGTTTGTGCTCAACTACTAATCTAAAGGTTGGCAGTTTGAATATCCTCCCAGTGGGGCCCTGGAAGAAAGGCCTGGTAATCTGCTTTGGCAAAGATTTAAAAAACAAAAACCAAACCCATTGCTATCAAGTTGGTTCTGATTCATGGTGGCCCTGCATGTTACAGAGTAGAACTGTTACAAAGGGTTTTCTTGGCTGTAATCTTTATTGAAGGTGATCACCAGACCTTTCTTCCATGGTTGGTGGGTGGCTTCAAACCACCAACCTTTGAGTTAGTACCAAACCCAAACCAAACCCACTGCTGTCAAGTAGATTCTGACTCATAGTGACCCCAATTGGGTTTCCAAGGTGGTAAATCTTTACGGAAGTAGATTGCCCAGTCTTCATTCTGCAGAGTGACTGGTAGGTTTGAACTGCCAACCCTCTGGTTAGCACTCAAATGTGTTAGGCACTGTGCCACAGTGCAAATCATTTGTGCCACCCAGGGACCTTCACCCTATAGAGCAGTTTTGCTCTGTAACACATGGTGTCACCATAAATTGAAATTGACTTAACAGCAACAACGTTTTTAAGCTTTTTTTTTTTTTTTTTAATTACTGATTATGGTTTCTAGATCTCTCTCATCCTGGCCACTCTCCTCTAGACAGGCCTTAGAAAGGAACCCAGATAAGAAATGCTCCTGTAGTTGGGACATTAGAAAGATGGCATTATCTTCAAAACTTAAGAGTTTGTGGCCAGTCTAAGGAGTGTCTAAATCCTCACTCTACCAACTCCCCTGATATGCTTGGTCTAGGCTTGGGCCCTGTAGATGTTAAATAAAGGCAGTCTGTGGTCACCCAGCAACCTTCTTGCAGAATGAAGGTGGTGGGGAAACAAAGCCAACATGCCTTCCCCAAAGTTCCTCTTTGTGCAGGACCTCAATAAAAGTCTGTGAAAGCTGGGAGGAGTGACCAAGTCCCAGACTATTTCTCAATTTTTCTATTAATCAAAACATATACCTGCCAATCAGAATTTCAGAGCAACAATGAGGAATTATAGAGTATCAGAGCAAGTCTACTTAGTTGCGATAGTTCCAGTTTAAAGAAATCAGACAATGGAATAGTGATGATTACAATAGCCATGATTTATTGAATCATTAATATATGCCTCACTTTCATTTACTTTTTACAGCAACTTAGATGTTGTTACTTTTCTGACAAGGAAACTGAGGCTTGGAGTGGTCAAGGGCTATCC